CTAGCTCAGGCAACTACTACTACTCCCCACCACCGCCACCTTATTCGCCTCCTGGTGGCACCACTGGATATTTCTACCCTCCACCTTACAAAAGCTACCCTTCAGGTCCTACACCACCGCCTCCAAATCCAATTGTGCCCTACTTTCCTTACTACTACCATTCTCCACCGCTACCTTCATCTTCTCCGCTGCTAAAACATTCATTTTCTTTCTTAATCACTGTGTTTATCTTTAACTCTCTTTTATAATCAAGGAAATCCTTTTAGCTTTCTTGATAGCAGGAAAATTGAAGAAAATGAGAATAAATTGTCAGATTCACAGAATCCTTCTCCACCAAATTCAGGGGGTGAGTGAATTTTCTAATTTCCAGTTCCATCGTGTTTACAAGTAGCTTTTTCGGCTAAAAAAGTGAATTTTAAGCACCTGCATTTCACAATGAAGAAAAATTGAAGCTGATGATGCCTCGAGCAGTGGAATATTCTGTAAATTCTTGATATTTCTCCCCCGCCCCCCTAATTTTTCCTGTCTATTAAGTTACCAATTTATATAAGCGGTTTTGGATAATTATGAAGTGTCAATTTCTAATTATTTAAACATCCCTTTCTTTATCTATGCTTGTTAATTTTAACTTATGATGAGCTTGTCTGCTTATTGTTACTTTGAATTTATTTCATACTATTACCATTAATTATCTGTTCAACTACCTGTACTGGCTGCAATTATATGGAGACGTTGAATGTGAACCTAATGCAATCCTTTTACACTAGTCGAGCTTGGACCTACTGTTAAAAAATCATAGGCATAGTAACATTCTAGCAACGTTGATCTTCGATGATGGATCTGTATGTGAAGCTAATAGAAGAATCTAGAAAAGTAAAATGTTTTAAGCGTGGACTCACTCCATTGGTCCTTTCTCACTTGCTTATTTTCCCTTTATCTATACACTGTATAATGGTACTACAAATGTGAGGCTGGTAAGCTTCCCAAAGGAATGCATGTTCTTATGAACTTGAAAAGTATTAGACAATGTAAAAGAAGAAGAAAAAAAATAATGAATCGTTCTTGATGCATGTGGCGTATGTTGCGACGGAGAGTTTTACATTGCCTACAATGTTTATATATCGCGGCGGTGTTGGATGAATAAATAGATTAGTAGGTGCGTGTTTTTTGGTTCGATTGACACATACATGTGTTCATGTTTTACGATTTCTATTGACAAGATAAATTAGATGATATTATATAGTAACAAGAAAGAAAAGGCATTAAAATCTTGATTATAATACTACATGATCGAATCTATCACTGTGTTAAACGTGCGCTTAAGTCATCTGGCATGACTGTGTAGTCTTGCATGAATAACATGGCATTTATTCGGACGGGACATTACTAGACACGAGCTCTACTTGTGAACATGTTTGTGCTTAAATGTGCATCGGACATCTATGACCTACTCATATGGTTTGTTCATTAACATTAAACATAACTGTCTATTATAGTGTACAATCCCGTCTAATGTATAGTATGTTATTGTGCTCTTAAATTCTAGCAGTGGCAAATGGTTGAGGACATCGAATCCATTGGCAAAGTGGAGTGTAGTATGTGTATCTTTATTTGTATTTAAACTGTGGGGATCATAGGTAAATTATTGTGGAGTGTGAATTTATTAGAAGGGATAATTGGGGTAAGGGGGTGTTAGCTGGATGCCAAACTTTTT